TCACTGCCTCTGAAACATTCTTTTGCACTGGATGATGTAAGGTTTGGGAATCCATACTGTGATTCTGTCTACACATTCTTGAGCTAAACTGAAGGCCACATGAAGTTTGGAGATCTTTAGGTATTGACTCTATACTCTATGAGCCCCATGTCCTTTGTCGTCATGCGGTCCATGTTGACGTTTTTCCCAATTGAAACCAACAAACAGTTGACTTTGGAGTATATAGTAGGGATAACATTTCATAAAATTACTATTGCCATGAAAGTGATTGTAACTCCTGGATTTTTGCTGTTTAGTGTTTGCAGATTTTTCTGTGGAACATAACTCCAAATTAATTGCAGAAAATTTGCCTGTCTGCAACTTTTTTTGTAGACCACATCTGAAATAATCAAAAGTAAATTCAGTACTTGGGAAGCTGGTGTTTGCAAAGCAGCCAAACCAGCAGGACCATTTTTTTATTTTTTTTGTCTGTATCCCCAAGAGTGGATTTAAGGAAGACGTTGGATGTTAGCATCTATGATAGCGGTACGATGGTTTCCACTGTGTGTATTAATGCACATTAAGCACATTTTAAAGCTGGTATTTTTTCAGATTATATTGACTGTTGAGAAGTTCCGTCTGACAATACTTTTTTCTTCAGGGTCTTATGCACAGTTACCGGGAAGCATTTGAAGATGATGAGACTTGTCGCCATGGCAATAGTTCCTCTTTTGAAAGCAGTGGTAAGAATTCTCTTAACTTTTTTCAATTATTCTTTAAAAAATTTAAAAAAATTGTGTGTGTGTGTCTGTGTAACAAACTTTATTTTAATGGATTAATGATGCTGACTTTGTTTTTTTCCATTTTCATTTAATCCGTGTTGGGCAGAAACAGAACCTTTTGCTGCAGTAACTGTGGTTTGAATCTGTTTTTTTTTTTTTTTTTTAGCTCGATCTACTCCAGGTTTGACAAAGACACCTCTGTCTGCTCTGGGACTAAAACCTCATCAACAAGGTGGATCAGGTCAGTGTTCTAAAGACCAACTCTATAGATTTTCCTTTTCTGTAGTTGATCATCAAACAAATGTTGATTTCAGACACAGATAACTGAAGTACATTCAAATAGCAGCAGATTTCATTTACTTAGGGCCTCCATGTGAACGTTACAATGCTAAAATGACTGCTGATCAAAAGGAACAAAAGTGACTGTCAAATATTTGCAAAAATATCTTGAAGATCCCAAAGGAATACATTTTTGCTTTCATACTCAAAAACCTCTCAAATTAACTGAGTTAATAAACTTCAAGATTCCTCCACATTGATGTGAAAATACTGAAAAAGTTGTTTAAATTTATACATGCTGTTTTGAGCATTTCCTGTTTTGAGCTCCTGTCTTCTTTTTTTCCTTCCTTTTTGACTTGCATTGCCGCCAGACTCTGATTGTAATAATGCACAGCAAGGTAGGGACACTTCTGCTTTGATATAGTTTCACAGTCTCCAGAACTGTTTTTTAACAACCTTGTATTTTATTGCAACTACACGTTTTCTTTTTGAGTTCACCTTTTTTGTCACCTGTGCTTCTCAGATAATCGCAGCGCTGGGGACATGAGACCACAACCATTCACCGCTCCTCTGTCCTTCAGCAGTCCTATCCACACCACTGACGGGTAAGTTTTTCCACTCTGACCTCCCACAATTTAGTAAACATAAGCATTTTCAGTAGGTCAGTATTGCTTAACCAACTTCAATGCACTGTCTTGTAGAAATATACAGTTCATTCTATTTTTCTTACACTCATTTTTTGCTTTTGCTTTATTAAGTACCACTGCCATTTGTCATGTCGGAGTGTTGGGTTACTTAATGATTGTATTTATAAATATAATAAAAGAAAACAAAAGACAGACATTCAAATATGATGTAAATTTGCAACCTTTAACCCAGTTTCTGACATTTAGATTTTACTGAAGAAGATTTTTAAACTGATTTTCAAGATGGACCATAACCAGACCGATGGACTGTAACTGTGGACCAGATTTGTGTGATCCGATCCATAGTTAAAGTACTTCAGATACAGCCTGGTTCTGTAACCTAATAGCTAGACAGACTCTGGCTTCTAGATGGCAGCAAAGTGCCTGCAATACCATTCTCCTTCAACTTGGCTGCATTAAAGATTCGAATTAGCGATGATAGTCTAGAGAGGCTTCTTATAAATTTGTGCTACACTGTCATAAGTCTGATATACTTGGAATAACCAATTGAGCATACCTTACTGTTTGATAACTAGGAATGTGTACTATAATTATTCACTACTTTGTTTTGGTCGATAGCATAAAATCCCAATAATATACTATATAGTGGGGTTGTAGCAAAAAAAAAAAAAACAATTCCAAGGGGTGTTAACATGTTTGGAAGGCACTGTATGTAGAAGAATTTTGTAAATTTGAATTTTCAGGAAAACAAATACTTGTTTTTATTTTTCAGAAGGAGGACTGGTTCTTCAGACAGCGCCCCCCGCAGTCCCGCCTCCCCATACACCAACAGACCTGCGTCCCCTGAGGGCTCCCAGGTCAACATCATGGGTGTCCACACAGTCCCCGGCAGTCCGAACACCCTCCACCGCACAGTGGCCACCAACACGCCTCCCAGCCCCGCCCTTCAAAGACGCCTAGGTCAAGCAAGCCCCTCCCTGACTAGACACCAGCCCCCATCCAGCCCTCTGATAGGTCGAAACCCTAAAACTGCAAGCACCGCCATCCCCCCAAGTCCACTAATGGGGCGGCGTGCGGGGTCGAGCGGCTGCAACACACCCGATGAGCTGGGGGCTGCCTCTCGTCAGGGGAGCGCCCAACCGCCTCCCACCCCCGCCTTTCCCGTCTCCCCACAGCTTCCAGAGAAGAGACACATGTCCAGTGGAGACGCAGAGAGGACAGACAACAGGAACCTGACGCCAGCCAGCGGTGGCAGCACGCCAAACCTTTCCGGCACACATACCCTCCCAGACGTCTCCAAGTCCATCTATGGTGAGACAAGGGACAGGTTGTGTTAGCTCGCAGCTGCCTTGTATACTCAGTAATCATCTTTCCTGTTCATTTTCTTTTAAACAGATGGTTATCCAGACATTAAGATGAATGTTAAGTTTGTCCAGGACACTTCTAGGTTCTGGTACAAGCCAGATATCTCCAGAGAACAAGGTGAGGGCTCTAAATATAGCAAAACCCAAAGATTTACAAATGCTGTGCAGAATAAAAACACAAGGCTTTTTCCCACTTCTGACATTTAATCTGATTACAAACCTTTTCTGTTTATATTAGAATTACTAAAATTATTTTTGATTTGCTAAATGCCAGAATTTGCCCAGATAATTGTTTCATGATTGAAAATAAAAAAAATATATATATCCAAAGTAATCAATAAGAGATCCATGGACTTTGGTAAGACTTGTTCATACTTGGATACAATTTCCAGTTGCCTGAAAGGTGGCACCTCATCTGTTGGAAGTATAAACAGCTTGTAAATATTCAACCATCACATGGTTCAGGAAGGAGACAGGTTGGTGTGAAATGTCCATATGAACCCCAAAACTTAAGATACTAGCTGAAACTATAGAGAAAGTGTCATTATCAGCAGTGAAAACAAGTCCATTGGCCGAAAGGCCGCTCAGAAAGTTGGATGCCATTACTCCAAATGCATGAAAGACAAACAAAATGATTGTCAGCTTCTAAATTCGAAGTTAAAATCTGCCTTCATAAAATCTCTCTCACCATTCTGCCTTTCAGATAATTTTATTGACTATAAGGGCTTTAAAAACTGCTAACAATTCAGTCTGATTTAACATCAGACAGTGGAAAAAAATATATTACGGCATTTTCTACAGTGTAAGTGAATATCTTGTCTCAGCTGTATCTAGTGGTATACACTAGTGTTTATCCAGCATTTTCCTTTGTATTCTGACTTCCTACATCCTCTTTTCAGCCATTAGTCTGTTAAAGGACAGGGAGCCAGGGGCGTTCATCATACGGGATAGCCACTCTTTTCGTGGAGCCTACGGTCTGGCCATGAAGGTGGCCTGTCCCCCACCAACTGTCCAGCAAAACAAAAAAGGTAAACTCAGTGACATATTCAGCACTTTTATGAAGTTTGTGGCCTGTTTTACTCACTTGATGCCATATATTGTGATTCTTTGGTAGTTGCCGACATGACCAATGAGCTGGTGAGGCACTTCCTGATTGAGACCAGCCCCAAAGGCGTTCGCCTGAAAGGTTGCCCCAATGAACCCTATTTTGGTGGGTATCTGACCTTTTGCCTGTGGTAGGAGCTCTTGAATCCGGCGGTCCAGTTTCACACAAAGATTTTTTTTTTTGTGTATTTGCAGGATGTCTCTCTGCTCTGGTGTACCAACATGCAATGACTCCTCTGGCTCTGCCCTGCAAGCTGATGATCCCCACCAAAGGTCAGCAACATCCTAACGCTGTCTGATTCTCATGACTGTTAGAAGACTGAAGAAGTGATTGTTGCCTTCATCCTGTGATGTACTTAGGATTTGTTTTCTGATAATAACTATTTATTCTCCCGACAAAAAGATCCAAATGAAGAGGCGCTGGAACTTGCTACACCTACTGATCAAGTTGTTGAGCTTCTCAAACAGGGAGCAGGTAAGGATTCATGGAATTTAAGAGTAGAAATTTTGTTCTTATTAGCCTTTCTGAGGGATTCTGCAGCTTTATGATGCCGTTCTTTTATAGTACTAGTCTTTTTTTAACCAGCCATTACATTGCGAGACTTTCTGTAAACAAACTTTCAAACAAAAAAGGCACCAAGCACTGGTCAAAGTCACAAGAAACTGTTATTATTATTATTATTATTATTATTATTATTATTTGGCAAAGAAGACTTTACAGAAAGTGAAGCACATAAGGTAAAATTAGACATCTATTTTCTAGAAACATTTTCTTAAACATTGTTACCCTTATTTTACAGTTCAGAAGGTTCCTGAGGAAGCCTATGGTAAATACTGGTTTTGCATGGTTTTTGTAGTTATGAACATGTTGTAATGGAGTTGGCTTTAAATTATTCCTGAAGATATTTACTATTGCATGGACAAGGCATGCATGCGAGTGACTGTAGAAGAATATCTGAGTGTAAAGCCTCCCAAATTTCTAAATAGAAAGCAACTGACTTGTTGTTTATTGAAGGTTCACATCTTCTAGTTCGCTCTGGGATCTTCTCAACTGCAAAACCTGTGTGATGGAAATTCACACTAAAAGGACAGTTAAAGGGAACATATGCAAAAATCCACTTTTTTAGTCCTTGAATATAAATTCATTCTCTCTGTGTAGATATCTGCACATTCTCTATGGGTTATATCTGCTACCCATCAGCTCTACTCGGAGACCTGATGTTGTTGTCTACTGAGTGGGTATATTAAGTTAAAGCTTCCATTTCTTTGGCTTGGATCTTGACCCTTAGATCCACAAAGCTGAACCAGGGGCTAGATACAGTTTCTTCTTTATGAGGTCAGTTTTCCCCTTGATGATTTTATAACCATCAGACTTGCGACTAAAACCAACAAGATGTTGGCATTAGTAAGAAGTATTTTACAAGGGACAATGAGTCAAACATTGTCCCCAATCATCAAATAACCTGTTTGACAACAGGTTGACAATGGGTCAGTGGTTCATTGACCCATTGGTCATTGGGTCAATGGCTAATGTGACCTTAACAGTCCTATTAGTGTGATAATTCTGCCTACATCTCAGAAGCCTGATATTCCAAACCCAGGATGAGAACTGAAGAATCAGATGTGAAGGATCTTCAAGAAACAAGAAGTACAATAGCTTTCTCTTGAAGCACTTTGGATTCATATAACTGGGAAACGGCATAAAAATACTCACATCCGACTGTTGAATATGCATGATTGGTTCATCCAGTACATTCTGCAGTAAATGCTCTTCCAGTCATCCTCTGTCAGCTGACACTGCTCCCATTTTGTTAATTCACAGCATGTAACGTTCTCTTCATCAACTCTGTGGACATGGAGTCACTCACGGGGCCTCAGGCCATTGCCAAGGCCATTAGTCAGACACTGACAACCAATCCACTCCCAGCGGCCACCACTGTCCACTTCAAGGTGTCCATGCAGGGTATCACCCTCACTGACAGCCAGAGAAAGTAAGGAAACTACAATGACATCTAATAAATGCCATGATAATAGCATAAAGGCTCCCACATATTCAGGCGTACCTTAGATACTCTGCAAGCCGCACAGACTCTGCGCACACTGCCCACGGACAGTTGGGATTTCATAGTCGAGATGCCGATTGCACAAATTTCTTCTGAAAAAATTTTTCATTTTCCATAAACTGAATAGATACCAGCAAGTGTGGTGAGCTGGTTGGGCACCCAGCCTCGTTTCTTCTCCACCACTGGCAATCTGGCAGTTGCGCGTCCTTGCAACTGGTCGTACCAGCTCTCAACCTTATCATCTCGTTGTCGCACACAAAAACAGTTTGATGTGAACATTTCCCTCAGTGTACATGTATGCAGGCGTAAAAATGAATCTTTGCTCAGGCGTCCACTTTGAGTTTGCCTCGAATACGTGTAGACCTCCGCAGCATGAAGAACGCCTGAGTATATGTGGGCCTTAAGTCTCAGGTAATAGGTCATTTATGTCTTTTGGTACAGAATTTTCTTCCGGCGACATTATCCCCTTAACACAGTTACCTACTGTGATTTGGACCCCCAAGACAGAAAGTAAGAATTATATTTCACAAAAATTAGCAGCATTTATGTTGACGACCACCAAATTGTAATACAGTATAAAATTTCTATTTTTGTTCAATAGATGGATAAAAGACGGAGGTGGATCAGTAAAGTAAGTTCACATTTCAACAGTTGAGTTTTTGTTATACTTTACAGTTTAAGCTAAAATTTTTCTTCTCTTCCAGGCTTTTTGGGTTCGTTGCAAGGAAACAAGGAAGCACAACGGACAATGTCAGCCACCTGTTTGCTGAACTGGACCCAGATCAGCCCGCCTCGGCCATCGTCAGCTTTGTCTCCAAGATGATGAAGCGGTGAAACCCTGAAACTTCAAATGGCAGTGGTCGGGTTGCAATCTTCCATCATCGTTGGCGTCTTTTTTAAAAGGATGCAACGTTGTCCTTTTCTTTTTTTGTTTGTTTTCTTTGTTCTCGCCTTCTTTTTTTTCCTTCTCTGCCTTGCTGGTGTGTCTTTCTTGAGAGCCGTCTCCACCCGGAGGCATCGGCATTGGCACAGAGCGGAGCTAGCGGACGTGTGGAGTGGAGCAGAGCACGTGACAGGAACGCAACATGGCAAAGTTGAGTGACGGGAACATGTAAGAACTTGTGGATTTTTTTTTTTCCGTTCATTTTATTGATTTACCAAAGGTAGTTGCAATACAAGTGCAAGAATGATGTAGCTAGTAAGCCATTAATAGTTTTCTCTTTTTAAAAGATGAAGTGAAACAAAAGAAAAACAAAACAAGATGAAAGAAATGTTGTTTCTCTTGAACTTTGATTCTTCAGGAAAAAAAAGGTGGAAAAAAAAACTTTCTGAAGACGTTATGCATGTTAGCTTGATCTTTAAGCTCGGTTCTTCTACTTTCCACAAAAAGTAAATGTGAACTACTTAGAGGTCATTTTATGGGTCTGCTGTGTGTTGGAAAGGGCTTTGCAGTGAAATAACTGATCTAAACTGTGCATAGCAGACCTCATCTACTAAAAACAAAACAAAAAAAAAAACCTTGAGGGTCATTTTGTGTCGGTGCAAACCATGCTCGCATTCTTTCAGCATCCAATCCTTTAAAAAAAAAAAAAAAAAAAAAAAAAAAGAATTGCTGGATAAACTCCAGCCTGAAATCATCAAATCGCCTAAAGATGTGCAGACAGTCTGTCCACAAGATGGCGCCACTTATCCTTCCTTAGAGACTTCTTCCATCAGCACCTGCTTTGCAGAAACTGATCTGTTTGTAAGACGCTGCCACAGAAACACACTGGAAACCACCGGGAACCGGCCCAATGACCTGGACCTATGCACTGTTCTTTATGCATGTTATTGTCCCAAAATGCACCTCCATCAAAGCTCCGTTTACCATCTCTGAGAACATTCTTTGCCATGTGTGTACAATAAAAAAAGATAAAGAATTATCTACCTTTAGACAAGAGTTAAACTTGTCCAAAACTGCATGAAATAGAAATTTTTTAGTCATTTCAGAGTTCTGAAAAATTGACAGATTACTGAAGTAGCTATTATGATGGCAAGTTTATATATTTATTTTTTATTTAATTTTTTGTCCTGTTCTGTTCCATTTGTGTCAAAACTCCAGTTATTTATTCCCTGTTGTTATTGGTCCATTTAAGCCCTAAGTTCTGATTTTTTTTTCTTTCACACAGTCCTCCCACGTTTAACTATTCAGGACCTTTTGAGACAAAGGGAAAGAAACATTTTTAAAAAAATTATAAATTTTTGTCTGCTGAGAACAGAACTAGCCTGAACTGTATATGGACCCAGTACGGTTTTGGGTTTCTTTTTTTTACTTCACACTGCAAAATTTGACATTTTAGTACCTTATAGAACAAAACAAACAAAAATACTAAATTAAATTATTCATTTTCTTTTCTTTCTTAGTAGTTATGTCTTTCTGAAGATCAGGAAATTCAACTTTTGCTCCTTTCATAAATATTAATGTCATGTTTCACATTTCAAGCAAAAAGGATGCTGACAAAAAAGACAAAAAGTTAAGCAAATATTCAGATTTTCTCCAGTTGTTTTCTTTTTCCAGGAGTTATGGGTGTTTCAAAAAGTCTTACCCTCACACTTTTTTGAATGAAAAAGAAAAACTACACACAGAGTGCATGATGAACATATGCTTAGACTTTCACAGTACCGTATTCATATGATAACATTTTAAAAAAATTACAGATCAGTTCATGCAGATTTTGTTTCCTTTTAGGTAAAGAAGTAAAAACACACAATGTGCTTAGTTCACAGGTTTTCTGAATGAGATAAAATGACATACACATTGCTTCCCCCACCCTTGTATTAATAATCGAAAATATTTCCTAATAAGAACCAGGGAGAGCTAGGGTTTAGTTTTCCATTTATTGTGTTGTTATATTAAAAGGTGAGAAAAAAATAAAGTATTTCACATTCTCATTGAGAATTTGCTCAACCATTCACAGAAAAATATGGAAACACTGCTGTTTGTTTCACAGTGTCGCTAAAAAAAAGTTGTTTTTTGGTACATTTTAGGAAATAAGAAAAAACTGAGTGTTGAACTCATTTAAATTTTTTCAGATTTGAGTAGTGATATACTCAAAAGTTGTTGGTTTTTTTTATGTTTTTTTGTTGGTGGTTCATTTTAGCTTCAATCCCTTCCCAGTGACAACCAGAGTTCAGGTTTCGTATCTTCAGCTCTGGTGTTGTCACGTTATCCCATCAGTAAAACATGGAACAGGCTCGCTTGTTTTCGGTACATCCCCAAATTTGTGTTCATTAAAAAAAAAACCTGTGAAGTTTTAACGATAGAGAGCGGATTTGGGCTCTTTTCATTTGTTTCACTGTGTGATACTAAGATTTCCTTTTGAACAAAAGACAGAAAAAATACTGAATACCTGCTTAATCATTGTTAATAACTTAAAAAGTGTCTTTTTTTTCTTTTTGTGTTTTTGAGTCAAAATAGTTTTTCATTAGAACCTGTTCTGTTTTTGCTATGTAACTTTGCAGTGTTTCAGTAATTTAATTTCAATACTTTTTAGGACAAAGAGAGAAAAACTTACAAAATATCAAGATTTCTTTTCATAAAGAAACACATTTTATTTTTATTTTATTTTGTTTTCACGTATTTTTTAAACTTTAGAGTAAAAAGAAGGGTTAAAAACTAGCTTAAAGCCTGCTTGTTGAACACACATCAACTCAGTTGTCATTGATTTGAGTCAGATTTACTTTTGGTATGAACCCTATAGTTCAAAGTGAGTTTTTTCACTTTTAAGTGTCAGATTTCACGTTTAGCTACCTTCTGGAACGACAGAGGAAAAACAACACACTGTGCGCAATACATGCTTGCTGATCACATGCATTAAAAATAAGCTAATAAAAAAATTGATACTGGTATAAATGTACATAGATATACTTCTTTGAAAGGTGACATAGCGAAAAAGTATTTATTTTTATTGCTTTGTTCCCTCATGATTACTAATATATACATATATTGTACAGTCTCGATAAAGATAAAATGGGTTGAGAAAAAAAAAACCTTATTTTGGCTAATGATTTCAAAGTCTGAGGATTTTGAGATGTGTTTGAATATATGGTGTACATTACTTTGTACATGTATGTTTCTTTTTTGGCTCATAGTATTTATTTTTTTTTTTCGTTTTGCTTTCTCTCAGAAAAGAGGCGGGGCATGAATGAGCTAAAGTTGCATGGACAGAAACCAATGAGTGTTTTCTTGCGTGCAAATGCATTGTAGAGTTTAGATATTTTTTGTTTTTTTAAAAAAAAGGAAGTTCAGAAGCCAAACCTTAATGCAATATGCACTCATGCTGGTTACATTTATCATTTTGCCAAAGATTCTCTCATGTTGCATCTTTTCGTGCTGCAGTTTTTTTATACCAAATTGCTTTTCTGTTTCCAATTTCTTCATTTAAATTTGCGGACGTTTCTCAACAGCAGAGGACACACACAATTGTTATGGGATGTACAGTTTACTCACTCTGCAAACTATTTTTTTGTTTTGTTTTGTTTTTGTTTGTACTGAGGTCTCAGCGCTCCAAAAATGTGTCTGCCTCCATCGCCTGTTGAGGAAAAAACAAGCCTGCTGTGCATCGGAGGAGCACAAACAAAGCACTTATGTCCACAATAGAGAGGAGTGACATAAATTTCATATGGGTGTCAGTGCTGGAGGTAAATAAAGTCTGACGTGTCTCACAGCGATGCTAAAAGCTCCACAGCTGCAGCTTTGTCTGACTGCCTAAGGTCTCTTTTGAGAGTCAGTGGATTATTTATTCTTATTTATTCTTTTAGTTCACATTTGTGTCACTTTCTTTTTGAAACATTAGCGATTTTCGGAATGTACAATGGCGCTTTATTGAAAGCAAGGAGGGTACACTGGGCTTGATTTGAGAACTAACAAGCTTCTTCCCATCTGTAGCCATTTGGAAAGAAAAAAAAAATGCCATAATTAAATGTTGCCTAAATGAATATTTATACTGAATTGCATTGTACCTGTTGGCTTTGAGTCAAGAGTTACCATATGTAATTACAAGAAAAAAAAAAAAAGATTGTTTGACCTCTTGTACAGATGGCATTTGTCTATTGTATGAATGTGTTGCCGAGGATGTACAAAAGAGTATCAGATTTTGTTGCTCTTATCATTTACATTATACTGTCATGGCTTACCTGTTCCTAAGGAGAAAAAAGATATTAAAGCAATACAGATCAGTTACATTGGAGCTCTTCTTTGTTTATGTGACTTTTTTCTTTTTTTCTTCTTCACTGTGTTCTGATTTCAGCTTTTACAGTATGGAAGCCTTGAAAGGCCAAAAGTGTGAAAATGGAGGTTGGATCTAAAAACCTAATCAGTTACTGAGAGGAGGTTTTAGCTCATTATGGAAATCAAATAAGGATCTATTTTAGCTCATTCATGTTATTCCTGATTTGCTTTTGCATCTTACATATATTTAAGAGAAGAAATACCTGCATTTCAGAAGCTTCATAGTTTGACCCCAGAAATCAATCTCAAAATATAATTATTCTTCATCTCTGTCAGATTGCATATCTGAAATGATCTTTCTTAATTTAATATGTGAATTCAGCATGTCTTTAGCCGCTGAGGAGGCAATAAAAACGTAAAGGTTTACAAAACCTGCAGTTGGACTTCAAAATTATTTGAACACAGTAGTCTCCGTAAACTAGAATAAGAAAAAAGACATATTACAATAATAAAATAGTAGTAGTATGTATTATGTGAAAAATGCACAAGAACAAAGTCACAATATTCTGAGAAGTTTAACAAAATAATATGAAAATAAAAACATAATCTTACCAGCATGAAGTCAGAATAGGAAAATGGAGTAATTTTATAAGAACTTCTACACAAAAGCTTAACATTCATCTGAAATGATGATTGTTAAGCAAAGTTCTACTTTGGTGTCAATTTTACAACTAAAGAAATATTCATCTTTTAACTTAACACATCACCATCAAATATTTATCAGTAGGACTTTGAAACGATTGTCTCTGTTTCAAAAAACAAAACGAACTGAGTTTTTCACTTCAGAGCTCCATGACGCTATCAAAGCTGTTTCTCATTACAACGACTTTTACCACTTTCTTCTGGTAAACTTCTTTCTGTATTCCCATAACATTATGAATTTATTCTTGTAATTAAAAATAATAATTCTCCCAGTCTGGCCCTAATAATCTGTCATAGGAAACAACGCTATGTAAAGTTAATGGCAAATAAATTGAGAACTGAGCAACTTTCCAAATGGATTTTTACAAATAACTAAAAACAAAATTCAGAGCAGCATTGTCATAACGTACAGACATATTTCTGAATCTATCCAAACCTCAGAGCCACTGAACAGAAATTTCCCTTCATTGAAGTGAATAAGCTCTAAAGTGGTGGCCCAGGTTTAAAGCTCGAGTCTTGCCTTCCTTAACTAGAGCCCAGAGAAATGAGGGAAGGCGGTCGTAAATATAAAACACGAAGAAAATGTTAGCTTTCTCATGGCTGCAGACGGTGTTCAAACTCCAAAATATGCATGACACATTTCCCCTCTGACAGATGGCGTAGGCGCCGTCGCTCTCATTTCACTGTGTCACATTAGGAGCTGGAAGGGAGGAAATCACTGGCTGAGATCACTGATGTACGCAGAACACGCCACCTTTCAGACAGAACGGAGGGAGGTGTCACAGCCACTCATAGCTGGTCACAAGTGATTCAAGTTGAACGTGTAGTTAACAGTGAACTCTGTTTGACTGTCATTTATACTCTCCATTTCCAGCAGGTTCCCTTGTTTGGAAATGTAAAAATCTGTAGTTTGGTTAAACAACGCAATAACTTGTCATAAAAACCTACTTGAGGGTTGAAAACATGACTTTTATAGCTGAGGTGACAAGCTGTTCACCTCAGCTATTGCATAGTTACAGCCAAAATAATAGTCATAAAGCTTGAAATAACTGAATGTGACAGGGATGAAAGCTGCCTCTAATGCCTCTACTTGAAAACTTATTACAATAAAATTAATAAAAAGATCATGTTGGGATTATTAAAACCACTAGACTCTACATGCAGGAGCTTTCTGAATCATCGAGACTTTGAGGAAAAAGCAACTCTTAAAATACATTTTTGATTCTGATGCTGGAAAATTGAGAACATAGTTACAAAACAAATACCCAAATAAAGACGGGAATTGTTGTCTAGACAGTAAAAACAAAAAAAACAAAAAAAAGTTCTTCCGAGTCCATCACAGCCCCCAAACCTAAACCTGTGGGGTAATCTAAAGATTAGAAAGCCTGTGCTAGAAGACATGGTCAAAAGTCACGCTTTAAAGTTCTAAAATATTTAGACAAAATTTTTAGTTGAATGATATACAACTGAATTAAAATATCCATTTCTGTGAGGCGTTTTACACATACCAGAGGTTCCAGCAGTGGCTGTATCAAGACTTGCTGGGATACTGTACCAGATGTTGGGAATGTCTGTCCTCAGGTGTTAGATATGTGACTTCCTCTAACACCTGATGCTAATGATTGCATTTTCTCTTCAGCCTATCACTGCATGGGTAAAACCTTACAAATAAATGTCCAAGAAGTTAGACAACATGCTAGTTGTGCTCGACAACTAGAACTGTCCGAGCAACTCAGAAACCTTAGTTAGGCGCGGCATCGGGATGCTAAA